TAAAGGAAGTAATGTGCCTTATTTTGAGCTGGAATTGCACAACAAAATGAAGGCTTGTTCAGAGTTCTTAAAAATGTCTCAGCTATCTAACTTGTAAAACCATTGGCCTATTTTGCCACAAGTCAAACTAGTAGACACGTTTTAGATTTGGATGTTTATACAACCTGAAGTCATTCCTTCCTAACCTCCTTACCGAATTCTCTTCCACGAACACCCCCTGAACCTTAGTGGGCCCTAAGCCCCATCCTCCAACCTCCTTTTATTCTTCAGCCTCTACCCTAGTCATGTCTGTGGTGTTCTTATTGGTTTTGGGTTTTTTTCCTATTATTTAAAAAATCTGTGGTATAATATACAGAACGTGACATTTACCTTCTTAGCCACTTTTAAGTGCAGAGCGCAGTAGCACATTCACACTGTCGGGCATCCATCACTACCCATCCATCTCCAGAACTTTTTCCATCCTCCAAAACTCAAATTCCATATCCCTTAAGCACAAACTCCCCACCCCTCTCTCCTAGTTCCTGGCAAACACCATTTTGCTTTTGGTTTCTATAAATTTGACATTCTAGGTCCCTCACGTAAGAGGAATCATACATGTGTCCTTTGTGTTTAGCTTATTTCATTAAGCATGCCTTCAAAGTCCATCATTGTTGTAACATGTATCAAAATTTCCTTCCTTTTTAAGGCTAAACAATAATCCATTGTATGCGTATTACCGCATTTTGTTTATCTATTCATCTGTCAATGAACATTTGGATTGTTTCCACCTTTTAGATATTGTGAATAATGCTGCCATAAACACTGGCATACAAATATCTGTCCAAGTCCCTGCTTTCAATTTTTTTTGGCGATACATCCAGAAATGGAATTGCTGGACCATGTGGTCATGTTTAATTTTTTGAGGAAATGCCTGCGATACTATTTTCCACAGTGTCTGCACCTTTTTACATTCCCATGAATAATGCACAAGGGTTCTAATTTGTTTGTTTAAAGAAATGTGCTTCATGGCCTTTGGTGAGTCACAATTTCTCTGGGCCTCAGTTTCCTTATCTATAAAATGGGGGGATTGGAATAGACAAGAGACAATCTCTAAGGTTTCTTCTAGCAGTAAAAACTATATTGGTCTAATTAAATCAAGTTGCAATTAAAACCAGAAAGCTGTCTGTATTGTTTATAAGCGTGACTTGATACCTTAAACCCTTTCCCTGACACAATAAACAAAGAAATCATTTTGCAAAGGATGGAATCTAAAAACCATTTCATGCACCCAATTTTCATTAATGACCTTAGTGGCCACCTCCTGAGCACCTGCTCTATGCAGAACACTGTTCCAAGCACACACTATCTCATACCCTAGTTGTACAGATGAGGAAACTGAGGCATGGCAAAATTAAACTATTTGCCCAAGGTAACACGATTTGTCCCTGGACTGCCCTGCTGTGGAAGCAGGTTCTTCACCACCACAGGCAGATGAAGCCTTTCCTCCTTGGTGTCTCTCCTTAAGTCTTGAGTGCTCTTAACTGTTTTCTTGCTTTTCCTTGATCACACTTCCATTTTAATGTCTCAGCCCTCTGCAGAGAAGAGCTGCATTTCCTCAGCTGTGGCATTTAAGCTTTTTATTTTTAGGCATAGAGGCTGAAATGCACAAAACTGTCCCAGAAATCCTCTGGGTGAATGTTTTTTAGTAATTTATTGGATAACCTTTTCAAGTGTTTCTCAGAAAATCACTTTTAAGGAATGCTCCTTGAAGGAAGAAGAAATAGAATGCTAAAGGTATTCTGGACAGTAATCTTATGACGTGGGTTTTAGTGTCTTGAGTTTGTAACTAAGGATACCAGGATTCAGAGAGGTGCAGTAACTTCCAAGGTCACTGAGCCAAAATATAGTAGAGCTAGGAGGTAAGCCTGTCATTGAGGAAAGCCCATGCCCCTTCCTACAGGGAGATATCCCACAGAGAACACAGAATGCCACTTAGGAAAATCAGTGCAAGGTCAATGACACATCATGACCTCAGGTTCTGTCTCTACTCAGCTGAGCAACTGGTATCTGAAAGAAAACTAAAAGGAAGTGAAGAGGTTCGCAGTTTCCCAAAAAGCGAAACTGCAAGGTGATGAACAAGTCAGTTTCCGATGAAGATGAGGTTCACTTTAGGCTCGGTTTTCTCTTAGAACAAAGACTGTGGAGGGAGAGTATTTCTGGATAACATATATTCGCATTACCAAAAATTTTTTTATATACATCAAAGATATATTTTAAAGCAATTGGATTTATCTGGTTAAGAAGAAGTCATCTTTATAGTTCCATGTGGATCTTAATCTTGGCTTAGTACTGATTCTAGGTTTTATAGGGACTGGGTGAAGGAGCTAAGATCTAGGTCCCAGATTTAGCTGGAAACAACTCTCTCAAGAGGATTCTGAAATAGAACATAGTTAAGGATTTCTGAAATTTTGAAGAAAAAATATTAAAAGCAGCAGATATGAGCGATGTCCAACTCAAATGACAAGGCCTCAAGATTTCCCCTGGATGCAGACAAGAGAGAGGAGATATTTTTATCAGAGAAACACTGAACTGGATTGTTAACCCTACACAGAGAACATGAAGTTTCCTAAGGCACAGACTGACTTCTTTCCAATGCTTCATGGTAGCAAGCATAATGACATTTATACACCAAGTCAACAACACACATTTCTTTGCAGTTTGGTTTTTCTTTAATGTTTTTATTTATTTCTGAAAGAGAGAGACAGTGTGAGCAGGGGAGGGTCAGGGAGAGAGAGGGAGACGCAGAATCTGAAACAGGCTCCAGGCTCTGATCTAGCTGTCAGCACAGAACCTGATGCAGGGCTCGAACCCACAAACTGTGAGATCATGCCCTGAGCCGAAGTTGGACACTCAACCGACTGAGCCACCCAGGCGCCCCTCTTTACAGTTTGAACTAATATTTTCATTTGAATCATAAACTCTGGGGTCTTTCTTTTACATACTAAAAATGCTAAATCAGAGGCACCTGGGTGGCTCAGTCGGTTGAGCATGTGACTCTCAATTTCACCTCAGGTCATGACCTCTTGGTTCGAGAGATAAGCCCTGCCTCAGGCTCTATGCTAATAGTGGGTGGAATCTGCTTGGGATTCTCTCTCTATCCCTTCCCTCCTCATGCATGCACATGCTCTCTCTCTCAAAATAAATAAAACTTAAAAAATAATGCTAAATCAGCTACAGATATTGAACTCGATATGTGCACAATGAAAACCATTAATACAATGATGGTGTTTGTAGGCCACAGGGGTTTAGCATGCCTTAAGAGCCAGATTATGGACCACGTACTGGGAAAGTAATAATGCAAAGTAAGCCTGATTCTGTAGCATGATTATCTTGTGCTAAAGTAGCTTAGGTCATCAGAGTTAGCAGTAGCCAACCGAGGCGAGTACTGTTTCTTTCCAGAAGTTAAACTTTAGGGCATGAATCCACAGAGACCAGCCCTCTTTTGTATTTTGTTCATAAAACTGTAAAAGCCACATTCTTAGTTTCCTCAGTCTAAAACTTCTACTAACTCTACAACTCAGTTGTTCTTATAGAAGCAGGAGATATTTGGAGACGTTTGGTAGGATCCAAAGTGACTTTACTTTTATCTCTATAGGAAATGAGTGTTTTCCTCAATATCAGGTGGGTACTGACACCTATCCTGGAGAATCAAGTTACCAATTGATTTGGTACCAATGCACTTTGACGATATTTGCCTGAGAGGGATTTCTGTGATTATTTTCCTTTAAAAATAGTTGCATACAAAATGTTCTTGTAAAGGCACTGATTATATGACTGAAAATTAAAATTTTTATTTTAAAATTTTATTTTAAATATTTAAATAAATATTTTAAAAATTAATGTTTATTTTTGCAAGAGAGAGACAGAGACAGAGTGCAAGCAGGGGAGGGGCTGAGAGACAGAGAGAGAGAGAGACAGAGAGACAGAATCTGAAGCAGGCTCCAGGCTTTGAGCTGTCAGCACAGACCCTAACATGGGGCTTGAACTCACAAACTGTGAGATCGTGACCTGAGCCAAAGTCTTTAGATGCTAAACTGACTGAGCCACGCAGGCGCCCCTGAAGATTTCTAAAGAGAGACAAGCCTCTCAATATGATAGCCAATATTTCCCAAATTTAGTTTTTTTGTCTCAAATCACTGAAAAGGATATAACTTAAGGAAAGTAATTCTTATCCCATAGAAATCATCCAACAGAGAGAAGAGAATGTTCTGATTTTCCCCTACTAGAAGAACTGACCTTTTATTCATCTTTATTTCCCTATGCAGATAGTAGGTGACAATACATGATTTGCAAATTCAACTAATGTGGTTACAGGAATGATGCAGATTACATGTGCTTTTTTATTTTCAACATAAAAGCATCAAATCCATGTTTCTCCCTCACTTCAAAATAAGGCTTCCAACATAATACCTTAAATGCATGCAAAAAATACTTTTCATGATATGTTAACCTCACTGCACCTGAATCTGGGCCTGGCACCTCACTTATTATTCATAAGAATAATCTGGATGCAAAAGGAACGTGCAGAAGTTTGGAAAACCTCTCCTGGCCTCACCCAGCACTAAGGGAAAGGGACTGCTCTTTGGGACACTGCAGACAGAAACAGTCAATATGTAAACAAACCAGCGACAGCGTTCACGTGACCCAACACCTTGGCATGTCCTGACTGTACAAAAGGAGCGCATCATTTCACCTACATTAAAGCCACAAGTGCTAGAGATACGTGATATGTGGCAAACAATGGTCTCAACTGCTTGCATTTGGCCCAGAAAGAACTACTGCATAACCGAGGAAAACATTCTGAGAGAACTCTATTTCTCGGATTCTGCAACTTAAAACACAGATTGCAGTGAGCACCAGGAGCTTACTAACTAGCAGAAGGTACTGGGAAAACACAAGCAACACACACGGAACCGCTGGAGTGCAGTGGGCCAAAAGCTGGCTCGGTGAGCCGCACTTACGGACTTCAGGATCCCTGCGGCATCTTCGTGGAGCCAGGTAGGGTACACCACTTCATCATTCAGTATGGCTTCAAAGAGGTCATCTTCGTTCTCGGCCTCAAAGGGAGCGTGACCACACAGCATCTCGTAGAGCAGCACGCCCATCGCCCACCAATCTACCGCGGGCCCGTAGAGCATCTCCTGGAGTATCTGCACGAAGACGGCAGCGTGAGAGGTGCTTTGCAGGCCTGATTAACAAATGTGTCCTTTAAGCGTCCGGCTTCGACTCGGGCAGGTCATGATCTCACGGTTCACGGGTTCGAGCCCCACATCGGGCTCTGTGCTAACAGCTCAGAGCTCGGATCCTGCTTTGGATTCTGTGTGTGTCTCTCTCTCTCTCTCTCTCTCCCTCTCTCTGCTCCCCTCCCCCACTCACGCTCTGTCTCTCTCTCAAAATAAATAAATGCTAAAAAAATTCTTTTTAATGTGTCCTTAATGATTAGGGAAAATGTTGGATTAGGCAATATCAAAGTAAAAAAATTGCACGTTCCATTCTCTTTTTCAAAAATGTTTTTTAAATTTATTTCTGAGAGAGAGAGACAGACGACAGACCGCGTGAGCAGGGGAGGGTCAGAGAGAGGGAGATACAGAATCTGAAGCAGGCTCCAGGCTCTGAGCTGTCAGCACAGAGCCTGACGCGGGGCTTGAACCCATGAACTGTGAGATCATGACCTGAGCTGAAGTCGGACGCTCAACCGACTGAGCCACCCAGGGGCCCCTGTTCCATTCTATCTGAAGAGCAGTCTGTTTTCTCTGTGGTTCCACTCAGAGGACTTCTCATCCAGGTGGATCCAACATTTACGGCCTGTTTCAGCCTAGGTGTGCAGATCCAGAACAGAAAGGGTTGGCACTGTATCCCTGTAGAGGGAGGAAGATACTGGGCACACTCACTTACATGGGGAAGACCGAGGAGGAACTTTACCTCTGCTAAATGGGGCTGGGATCAAAGCACTGAGTAGAGACGAGGAGGAAAATAAATAGCTGTGAGCAGGGCACACTTTGTCCTCATTCAGGGCTAATGCCTAAAGCAACTGCGAGGTTTATAAAAAAATTTTAATTGAAATTGTTATTTATAGGAACTGAGGGCATTTTCCACCATCATTCACCCACTGAGGCATAAGGGAGTGGCGGAGGCCTCAGCTTTCGACGTGCCCCCAGAGCCGCAGCCCGCAAAAGCGGCCGTGGCATTTCTGCTCAGGATCTCCAAAGCTGCACTCACCTCTGGAGCAATATAGTCGGGCGTGCCACAGAAAGTTGCGGTGGTGACTCCATTACAAATCCCCTCCTTGCACATCCCGAAGTCTGCCAGTTTGCAGTGACCCTCGTGGTCCAACAGGACATTGTCCAGTTTGAGGTCTCTGAAAGAAACAAAGAGCGGCATGCTGTATTGGGCAGCCGGGCCCCAGACCTGGATGGGCTGGCTCAAGGGGCGGGCCGTGGCATCAGACTGTACCAAGCAAGCTTTCTGCATACATTTCAAAGGGAACCAATGTCTGAGTTCTTTTGGAGAAAACTTTAGGTCAACTCTCAATATCTGCCTCAGGGTTCCTAGATGATGGTCCCTAGAATAGGCTAACCACGTAAAAAGAACTAGGCATGATGGTGTGCCCTCGCCGGGGGCGTCTCACAGTGGCCACAGGACCGTCGTTCTGGAGCTTCACACCCATAGTGGGCTGTGTCGGGGCGCTCATGGCTCTATGTTCCTGTCCCTGCTCTGGGAATCAAGTTATGTTGGCTTGTGTGGCCTGAGGGAGAGACTGGTCTTTGTCCAGCCCAGGATCACCTTTCGGCTCAGAGGCAATCGGTGACGACAGAACTGGCGTGACCAGTTTCCAGGCTGTGCCCTGGGAGATGACACCTGACCACACAGGTCTTACAGAGAACGATCCCTGGGGATACCCAGGAATGAAAACGAAGTCCTGTTTTCTAGGAATCCCCGATAAATGAGGGTAAAGCAGAAGAGTTTTCCTGCCACAGATCAGTGGGAATGCAGACCAGAACTTCTCTCTGCTCGTGTGCTCCTGGCAGCAACCTCCCTGGGTGTAGGCTGTGTGAAAGCACAGGTGTGCTGGGCACCTGAGTGCCCACTTCATTAAAGGAAGTCTTTTCTGCCTCTAAACCAGATCTGGCCTCAGCCCTAGTCTCCATGCAAAATCCTACTTTCCAAGAAGCAACTGTTTTCAGTAGGCTGCAATCTGTGGGGATAGTTTCCTTCCCCACAGCCACCACACTATATAAGCAAGACGTAATTTTTAAAAAATGTTTTGATGTCTTTTTAAAAAATTTTTTTTTATGTTTTATTTATTTCTAGGAGAGAGAGAGTGAGACAGTGTGAGCAGGGGAGGGTCAGAGAGAGGGGGAGTCACAGACTCTGAAACAGGCTCCAGGCTCTGAGCTGGCAGTGAGGACAGAGCCCGACGCGGGGCTCGAACCCATGAACCGTGAGATCATGACCTAAGTGAAAGTCGGACGCTTAATGGACTAAGCCACCCAGGCACCCCTGTTTTGATGTTTTAAAAGGTTTATTTATTAAAAAATTTTTAATGTTCATTTATTTTTGAGAGATAGAGACAGAGTGTGAATGGGGGAGGGGCAGAGAGAGAGGGAGACACAGAATCCAAAGCAGGCTCTAGGCTCTGAGCTGTCAGCACAGAGCCTGATGTGGGTTTGAACCCTCGACCATGAGATCATGACGTGAGCCAAAGTGGGACATTTAAATGACTGAGGCACCCAGGCGCCCCAAGCAAGACGTATTTGAAGGTGGAATCATGAGGCACAGAGCGGTAGGTGGGATGACTGTGGTCCTGAACATGGGAGGGAGGCCATCTCCAGGAGCATGGTCTTTCTCAGCCATTCTTCCAGGAGTGGTTTCAGATTCTAGGCCCTATCAGGGCCTCTCAGACAGATGGCACACATCAGAAGTGGCCAAGGTCAGGGGCACCTGGGTGGCTCAGTCAGTTAAGTGTTTGACTTCACTCAGGACATCCTCTCACAGGTTTTTGGTTCATGCCCCACGTCTGTCTCTGTGCTGATGGCGCAGAGTCTGGAGCCTGCTTCAGATTCTGTCTGTCTGTCTCTCTCTCTCTCTGCCCCTCCCCCACTCATGCACACACACACACTCTCTCTCTCTCTCTCTCTCTCTCAAAAATAGATAAAAACATTTTTAGAAATTAAAAAAACAAAAAACAAAAACAAGAAGCGGCCAAGGTTAGAGATTACAGTCAGACGCCCTGGGGGAGAGCAAGCCCATGGGGGATCTGAGCCTGGAGGCGGTCTCTTTCAGCACCATGTCTAGCCTAGTTGTCAAGGCCCGTGTGGACCTGCACCCGGAGCATGTTCTCTCACTACCAAACAAGGTTACTGGGTTTCTGAATTCTCCTGAAGCTGTTATGCTTGCTAGGGACTCATAAAGGATTTTGTTTGGTAACAAAAACAAGTGCTAACAGAAACCCACAACGGTCTGAAGAACTGACCTGTGATTGCTCAAGAGAGCTTGTAACTAACATCCCAGGTAAGAAGTTTAATTGCTTATTACTCAGTCGCTGTCATGGGCAGCAGGAATTGTTCAGGGAGAGACAAGTGCTTGCAATCGGTTCTGTAAGCCGCCCATTGCAATGCCCTCTGCACACAGAAGTCCTGGAACACAGCCTCACTGCTCAGAAGACAGAAGTAGGCAGTACAGGGGATGTGCCTCATTCCAGCCATAGGGTGCCTGAGGCCACAGCGGCAGGTTATACTTCAATCCGGACTTTTCAGTCTAATTTTAGGCTTTCTGTAGATCTGTATAAGCCCTGAGGGAAATGCCATTGCTTGCTTTACACCAGGTGCTACCTAAGAGACAAAACTCCCAAACTGGGATTCCAAGGGGGTTCAGTTAAGAGCATAAATATCATCCGAGGCTATGAGTCCTGCCCTCAGCCTAAATATCTCATGACTTCTCTAGAAGTTCTGTCCTGATATCCCCAGATAGTCAACTCTGCTCCCAGAGTGCCCAGTTAGTTCATGCCTCTATAACGGCATGCCCTGCACTTATTCCAGAAGGTCTTGTCTGTGCACCTTCACCCCCTTAGCTGGAGCTAAGCCTTCCTCCTCCCTAGCTCCCGCTTGCTGGTGGCAGAAGGTGTTGACCAAAGACACAAACAGAAGCATTTCAGACAGACAGCAGGGAGCTTCCCTACCCAACTCAGAGCCTGTCTTATATTTAGGGGAAGAAAAGAAGCTTCATAAATCTCACTGGGATTCTTGTTTCAAGGTAATTAAACTTATAAAAGCTGACGTGCTTTACCCCTTAGAGACAGATTCCAGAGGGAAAAGAAGAATCCTGAAATGTAAGTTCAAATTCTTTTCTTCGGTGAAGCTGGAGAAGGGAAACTACTTTAGGAAAGGCAATTATAAAGTAGAGAGGACCCAATCATAATACTTTTCCATGGCTTACAGCCAGGTAACAGAGTAAAACATTGACAGGGTTAGTCAAACAGATTCAAAAGTTATAGAGCCATTCATGGCCATGGTCAGCTTCCATTTTAAGGGTAATCATGATCTTCAGTTAAAAAAAATGGGGCACCTGGGTGGCGCAGTCAGTTAAGCGTCTGACTCTTGATTTCAACTCAGGTGATGACCTTACAGTTCATGAGCTCGAGTCCCCCCATGTTGGGCTCTATGCTGGCAGTGTGGAGCCTGTTTGGGATTCTCTCTCTCCCTTTCTCTGCCCCTCCCTCATGCTATTTCTCCCTCAAAATAAATAAAACTTAGAAAAGATGGTAAAAAAAAAAAAAGGAAAAAGAAAAGGAAAAAAAGTCCTCCAATGACTTCTGACGTTGAAATATGCAAAGGTCAGTTTTTGCCTTTGGAGTTCCTCAGCCTCCAACGCCAACATGTAACTCAACAGCTAAACTTAACAAGGCTACACAATGAAGACTACAAGTTCATACAGGGCAGAGGCTCAGATCCCAAAGTGCCGAATACACAATTACGGGCTCACCCTTCATTAGGTCATTGAGCACTGGTATTTAATAGCTGTAACTTTTGTCACACAAGCATAGAAGGGTAGAAAGAGTTACTTTATGTATTGTTGTTGCTGCATAATCAGTTACTTCAAAATGCCCACAGTGGTTTCAGAGAAGCATCCCAAGTGGTTGAGGACAAAGGAAATTCAGAAATTGTATTTATTTTGTTTCCACCATGAGCTATTCTGAGAGTCATAAAACAGAATGACATGAGTCTTTCTGCTTAGATCACTGGAATCAGTGACTCTTCCAAAAGAAATAAAAGAAGGTGAGTTGTGAGCTGGCTCCTTGAACAAGAATGACTCTAAGAGGCTATTCAGTAACTATTTTTAATCTATTTAAAAACATTTTTATCATGGAGAATTTCAAATCTATACAAAAGTACAGAGACTAATCTAACCACTCCTATAGTGATCACAGAGCATAAGCACTATCAATGCATGTCCCATCTTGTTTTGTGTATATATTTAGTCCCTTCCTGATCCATCTTTTTTCAGATTTTGAAGCAAATCCAAGACATAAAACCATCTGATCTGTAAATATTTCAAAGTCTTAATCTAAAATATAATTCTTTAATAAAATACAATATTGATATTGGTTATTATACAATAAATAGTCAATATACTATTCAAAGTATAGGGCTTTTTGTCTGCTCATTTGAGTTATGTGTGTGTGTGTGTCCACAGAACCTGAAAAAAGCTTCTGGAGATCACAATAATAATATGATAGTAGCTAGCACACATTGAATGTTCACTGGGTGCTAAGTGCTTTAGCCACATTATCTTATTTTAATCCTGAAAACAACCTTGTGAACGAGGATCTCAGCAACATTATTTAGCTACCCAGGGGGGTAAATCCAGGATTCTTAGTTCTGCTCACCTCCCTCCAAAGCATGGGCTCATCACTCACTATAGCAGACAGTCTTTTATATACTGGTATTGCATTGCTGGCTAATCCTCCTAGTAGATTATTTCCTGAGAGGAGTTCCCCAATTGAAATAAGAACCATGTGAGAATCAATAAGTATCCCAAAAATGAATTATGGCAAAGGGACATTTTTGTGCGCATCACTATGAAATGCATAATCAAAATTTTGCAAAAAAATTTTTTTGCTTTGGTTTTTAGTTTGTGCATGGAGAAGGAGTTCAATGAATCTTTTCCAATCCTTGAATGTGTAGGAATAGGGAAGTACACAGCAAATGTGTCGCTAGTGGTCAAATATTCTGAAGACCATTCGCTGCTCTTTTCTAAGAAAGAGAAGTTGGTATGTGGGTAAGGTTAAAGACGTGGCTAAAAATCATAAATTTAATATTATGATCATAATTTCACAACAAAACCATTTAGGGCTGGCTT